GGTCTAGTGCTACACAGGCGCCTGTTTCGTCCTATTGGGACACATTAGTTGCACCCTCCCTCGGTTCAGCCGATCCTATCCTAGCCGATTATATTATTTCGAGAGGGTTTATGAAAAAGCGATCGGAAGAAGAGGTATCATGATTGCTTTGAATATTTTCAGGATTCCTATCCAGTGCAACATGGTGCTCCTTATTTCTATGGAAACGGTATGTTTTCACCTCTTTTTACATCTCTACAAACCTTTCTTCAGTTCTGCACAGAAAACATTTTTTTCTTTACAGCCTCATATGTGATCTGTTTCCATGTCTTTTCAGCTAGTTTCCTTCGTCTGTACAGTTTATACCATCAAAAATTCCAATTTACTTCTGTTAAAACATGTGTTGTTGCCAGATACAACTATCACATTTGATCCCTCCACTGAAGAACTTCATATCTATTAGTATTTTTGCTTTAGGAATAGCGAAAGCACCTAACGGATTTGACAACGCTGCTTTCCACAATCATCAACGTCACTACTCGCAAGCCACCACAGCTTCCACAAAGCCCAGCGGAAGCCCCCCTTCGGCAGATGGTCTCGATGCAGTACCTCCCGGAGGTATAGGAGAGACCACTTATCATGAGTGGTACTCTAAGGTACTTATTTTGATCCGGTGGTTAAAATCACCTAAATAAATGAGGTCACAAATGTTTTTCGTAAGCGCGCTCAGTATTCAGATGTTAGACTCGTTCACCAATCACGCAGGTGCCGAATTCTCCAATTCGCTTCGCTGTCTTGCAAACTTCATACATTGAGATTAAAATGTGTTAAAGTCTGATCTCATTTACATGTGGATGGCTGGTTGATGGAAGTTTTCCCCTACAAGCAGTATTGCTATAGTACGTCATTCTCAGATCGTCGTCGAGTTTTGTCACTAGGGACGGGTTTCGCTGCTTTGCAACTCGGATCCTTCCAAGATAGTTTTCATACTAATAAGAGCAGAGAGCCGTGTGATGATATATTGCTGTGTGAAACTCGCGCTATGATGTTATACTGATGAGAAAATGAAAAATCTAAATAACCAGATAGGATTAAGTAACTGCAAAATGACAAGCAAGTTGATCATCCAAGATGCCCATCAAGATTATGGATAACTTAGGAATTTTCTACAATCTTTGTCTTACATCTCTTGTGATACCATACGTGAGAGGAACGTTATCTTGCTAATTACATGATTTCCGCAAATTTATAAGAACATTTACACTCAGCGATAGTCTGTGCACACTTGGCGTATATTTCCAAATGGTGCACCATTTGTCAACTGAACAGTAGCATTTGTCTTCATATAGGTTTCTCAACTCATAAATAGCCTGGTTGCACAACTTTCTATGTACTCAAGAATGCTGAGTGATATGCAAAACTTTTTAAACTCATGCAGGAGATAAACTTGCCATACACCCATATTCACACTGCTATGCAGCCGCTAAAATGAACGATCCTTGCGTATGCATATATTAATCCATTTCCATACTAATGAATCAACTTAATATCATACCTTTATTTCGAGTGCTTCATTAAGACCACGCTCAAATTTCAATAGATCCTTTCATTATTATTTGAGCCAACTTGTCATGTGGTCTGGTAAGGGCTCATGTACAGCCCGATACACGTGTTTCGTTTTTACAGACTCGTCAGTCGGGCAGGACCTGTCGTCTTTCGATCTTTTTATTAGTCAGTTCTCTCGGGAGCTCTACTCCCTTACAGAGAGTCATCGAACACGAGCGTTTTAACACTATGTCAAGTGAAATTTTCACCTAACATAGAGTGTTGCGCACTCGATTGCTCTTTGGCTGGTATTTTTATCAATAATACAATATAATATAATATAATATAAAAGACCGTTTCACTCCAGTGTAGCAGTGAAATTATAATCGAGTGTCGCATACCCTGGGCATTTGTTTGCCGGCTAGTGAAAGTGGTAGTCGTGGATTGATAGACAACCGATCGATTGCGCTGGTGCGACTCACCTGTTTGGTAGAAGTTTCGTTTTTTAAATGGAAATTTTCCTCTGCTTCGAAAGAAACTCCAGATAAAACGTATGACTCTGACACTGCGAGATTTTCTATGCACGTTCATATGCTTTTCGTGCTCCTAGCGAAGTGATAGTGAAGGCATATATATATATATATATATATATATATATATATATATATATTTAGAAAAACAAAAAACATATTTTAATTTTGAATGCTATAGAAGCATATATTTATTTTGAGTGTTACAGTGTTATAAAGGGGTCTTTTCGAAAAAGGAGCACGCAGCGCAGTAAGCGAAATTTAGGCTTTCAAATTAGTATTAACACCCTTATAAAGAGTTTTGTCTATGAAGAGTCGTTTCTTTATTTGTTTCCGTCCAAGAGAAAAGAACCGTAACAGAATATCGCTTTCGGTGGTCTACCGGTAGCACACTACTTGGGTTTGGATGAAACGCGGGTTCAACTCTGGCATGAGGTTCAGAATTTTGAAATTTCACTCATCGTCTTTAAATATATAGTTGCAATAACGTAATATTGTCATATGAACGTTAAATCAGGAAATTTTTTGTACACTATTCATCTGTATATATATGCACAATTTTCGAATTATCAGCTGTTAGAGTGCTATCAGTTGTTTCCAGATATTTCCAAAAGCTCGAGCTATTTAGTATTGACTTATGAAATACATCATTATAGTCGATATTATGAATATTCTATGACAGGTTGGTTCAAAACCCGCCTCTCAACAGCACGAAGAAGCGATGGCTGTCGTGCGCCCGCCATCAGCCACACCCTACGTGTCCTACCCAAACGATCCGTCCGGCTACTACACCCTAGGCGGTGAACATCGAACAGGATCGGCTAACAAACACATCAGATCTCCGTTTTGAGTAACCTTCTCACACCTTTGTAACAAATTGCTATAATCAAACTAACCAAATGTTATCGAAGTACCAGAGCCAGTGTTTTCTACACGATTTTGGCTTTTCGTGTGCAAATTGGCATTGTATTTCGACTACCTTGTTTTTCACCTTTTTTTGGTTGAGTTTGCTCTGAAATGATTGCTTACAGAAACTGTAGGGTGCTTAGTGTGATCTTTCTCACCGTCCACTTATTGTAAGAGTTGTTATTTCATTGAAATTTTCTTAATGCATAAATTTATCTATAGCATCAGCAGATGTTTCATTCTTAGCTTTTACCAATTGTATTGATTAATCGTTGACATCCTTCATTCATAAAAATAGAAAATACTTTGAATGCCTGTTAAGAGGCTCTGTCAATAATGAATGAAATTATTATATTAGTATAATGTTTCTTTGACTATTCTACAACACACTCATAAGGATATTACAAAAATTTTTATTGTGGGTAGAGTTGTTGCTTCTCTACCTTCTTTACCAACGCAATGTTTCGAGTCCAGTGTCTAGAGAGCCGTCGTTTTTTGTGAAGTGTTTTCATGGGCGCATCGAAGCGAGTGAGTTGGATTTTTACACGGTCAGAAATTCTTATATCCCTAGTTTACGATCGACTCCACTCGGTGTAACAACAAACATCCACATCGCAATAAACGACCGGCTGTGAACTATCGACCTGGATAAACGCGGCTGTAGAAAGGTGAAAGTTGCGAAACGTCAGGCGATTAAACATTCCAATACCAACCTTGTTCAAGATTAATGAACTTAGAAAGCTAATGATCCCTGTCACCTGTGTGATCTATAAGTCGTTGATTGACTCAAATTCCTACAACTAAATAACTTCTTTGTTCTTGTCTTCAACAAGAGGGCATTTAAACATTTTTGGCTGGGGATTTTTAGTGTAGGAGACAAGGAAATGCAGTCTATCTTCACGTGCGCGCGCTTATGCACATGAAATCAGTTTGATATTTCCATATATAATCAAAGACAAGAATGCTGAGAAATATGCAAATCGTGTAACCTCAAACGGAAACTAAATCCGCGCATCGCCCACATTCAATAGCTGTTAGCGTAAGTGAGTTTAATGCCGATATGTGCCTACCCAGAACAGATCCTTTGACGGGTGGTTGCTGACAACTGTGAGGCTAGAAAAAACCTCCAAAAAAGGTTTTGTCTGGCGGCACAGAAGAGCACACGTCGAAAACGCCTTGTTGAACGAGTACAAAGTTTGCTATATAGTCACGGTCACTTTGTGCTGCGCATTTATAGCACTACTGCGGTGGCCATCTCTCGGTATTATAAGGTGCACACTCAAGTATCAAAAAGATTTATCGAAGGCTTGATGATATGGGTGAAGAAAACTTGAAGTTATCACCTTTGAAGACTGTTTATAATACACCATATCAAAAGACAAAATTCTTAGGAAAAGGCGAAGCTAGTGCCTTCATTAGCTCATCGCTACTCTTTTGGACGACTTGCGAGCGGAGATGGAAGTTCACAACTGAAAGAATGTGAATCAACGCCGACTTTACCAGCCTTCATTATCGGCCTGAAAGATCGATAATTTATACACCAACAGGAAACAATAAAAAAGAGGATTCAAGAGAATCTTTAGAAACTTGGTGTGATTTGAAAAACATCTACGCTGCCCATTGGAACGTTGTAAATCTATAAGGCTAAGATGATCGCAGAAACTCCAAAAGAAAATAGAGGAAATTAGAGCCATATATATGTAACTCGCTCGACCTTCACGTCAACCTGTTTCCACGCAAGCTTAAATAAATTTATGTATCCTCAGCGGTTCTTTCTTTCGATACCCGACATATTACAGGGATGACGGTGTCATGCTGCACTTTGTCTGAACAGGACTGAAGTTGACCATTGAATAGACTAGCTTCTAGCTTTCTTTGAATCCCTTCCTTGGCTACAACGTTCTGACTCAGTAGAAGACTACTGAGATAATACTGGTGCACAGATGGGAAAATCTGCAAGGAATAAGCAAAAAGTTTTTCTTCAGCTCACCGTTCTAATACTCGACTTCCCTAAGAGAACTGAGTGAAGAGCAAGAACACAACCTCAGGCGGGAATCAAACCCGCGTTTCATCCATACCGGTTATGCGTGCTACTACCACCACACCAACGAGGCACATTTGCGCCACCACCAAGACTTCAACACATTTAACACTAGATTTACCTCTAGCGGAGTCTACAGAACACCGTAGGAAAGGAAGTCAAGCGAATGAGCGAATATTGGAAAGGACTCAATACACTACATTCACACGATAGCTAAACTTTGAAAGTTAGAGAGAGAGAGCACAAGAGACTGCTTCATATCATTTTTAAGGTTCTATGAAAGGTGTTACACTCACTAAAAACAAAAGGGTGTCAATAATCAATCGAAATTTATCTATTTGACCGCCGCTTGCGGTGGTATGATGTTATAATATATCTAATAATGTGGAATGGTATACAAAAACATTGGCATCAGCCGGGATTCGAATTCAGATCTCATTCTTTCCGGGAGCGTGTGTTGAACCGTTGCAAAGAGAGATTTAAGTTTGAATCGCGGCTGACCCAAATGTTTTGCACAGCACTCCACATTATTGGGTATATCATAACAAAAGGTTGCCATTAAAAATCTTGACAGGTGGCGCACTCGTAAACGATACGTTATAATCTTATCACAGCTCTTCGCAGCTTGGATCTGTAGGCTGCGGTAGCTCCATAGATAGTCTTCAAATAAGCCTTAAAAAATAGATTGAGTTACTTGAGCAAGGCACTGATTTACACCATGTTAAATTTTTTGGTTGCAAAATTGTTATATTTTTTTGTAAGCATTGGGTTGCCTGAGAGACGCGTCATGAATTCTTTTCCATCTAACAACGTTTGAAGTGGCTAGATCATGTCTGGCCTGATATAGCAAACCTCCCAAGGGAGTTTTGCTAACTTTTCGGGTATTACATGATAATTTAGGCAACTCAGATGGTCCATGACTCTAGAGAGCAAATGCTATCGTGGAGGTTCGAGGACCTTACGCAGAAAATGGTCCGAGTGGCGACGGCGGCACCCAGCTGCCACCAACTTGAACAGTCAATTCGATCACGGGGTATCATCCGAACTGTCGTTTGACTTCATCCAGACCACCTCATCTCAAATCGTAACTGATCCATTATTGCTCTCTCCACACAATCTCGTTGTCGTGTAACTGATTGTTATCATAAAGCTGCGCTCATACGGCTGTCAGATGAACTCAATACAACTGTGAGCGGAACATATCACTAATGTGGCGGAGCAAACTCACTTAAGCGATGCTCGGCCCGCCACCGCGGTCAAGGGATTTTGCCCATATCTAATTAGTGATGACCTCGCTGCTGTCACAATATACTCACCCACTGGATCCCGCCGCCGGTGCTTTTACTTCGGGGCGAATATAGCACTCCTAAACGGGCTTCGCCGCCTAGTCATATTTCGTTAATAACAACATCCATGGCATCGTCACACGACAATACATCTCATCAATTACGTTCACTTGTTCATATTATCGTCACAAGACGGTACATCACATTCACAGACATATGTTCACATAACGATATGTCGCAATCGTATATAAGTGTTCTTGCGCTATTATTACAGTGATATATGTATATTATAGGTTGTTTGGTTTCACCATACTGTTTGGTTGCATCCTATTGTTTGGTATAAGCCATACAAAGGATTTGAGCTCTACGCTCTTGTCCGTTGCGATACACAACTTGGCAGCAGATCAAAACAACAAGACCACTGAACCTTCACCACATTTGGTGCATTGGCCGGGGAATCGAACCCGGGTCGCGCGCTTGGCAGGCGAGTGTTCTACTGCTGAACCACTAATGCACTTGATGCATTGTCCGAGTTAATCGAACTCGGATCTGTCACTGACCGTGCACTACACATTTGGTGCATCGACTGACTCAATTCGAACTCGGGTTTGCCACTGAGCTTGCTCCACCACTTTTGGCGCATTGCCCACTCAAGAATCGAGGTACTTAACAAGAAAGCCTCCATTTCCTACTCATAGATCGGGTCACTCAGCAGAAAGCCCCAACTTCTCGGTGCATAGATTAGGAGACTCAGCGAGAAAACCCTCATTTCTTAGGACACAGAGCGAGGAACTAGCAAGAAAGCTCCACTTCCTGGTACATAGAGCGAAGAACTAGCAGAAAACCCTCACTTCCTGGTACATAGAGCGGGGAACTAGCAAGAAAGCCCCCACTTCCTGGTACATATCGCGGGGAACTAGCAAGAAAGCCCCCTCATACGGCACATCAGCCGATTACGTTCGCATACTAGTCACCGGAGAATCTCGCAACCAAGGACGCAGCCTCGCCAGCCGATTGAGTGTTCGCATTGTCGCATCATTGCAACAACCAACTCTATGAGTAGCTGAACAATACAACTTCATCAAGTAGAACCAAACAACCTCAAACTTGGAAAACCGCCAAATACGCTTGAATTCCGTCATTACATCAAAGTCATCTTCCATAACACTGTATGGTAAGGGCTGAAGCAAAAATAAAGCAGGAAATAGAAGACGTCAACATCATGACGGACCAGTAAATCGTAGTGGCAGCCGAAGTACTGGAAAAGTTCACGTATCCCCAAAAACAGACTCACAACACACGACCTTACGTTGTGGTGCACATAATCTTAATTTCGCTCAAACAAGGGTAGTCCTAGAGCTCATTACCACCCCAAGACCTGATAAATAGCCTCAGCTGGAGCTATTCATATTAAACCGCCGGAACGGTCGTGGCATAGATAGGACCACGTAACTGGGGAGCACTATACAGTTCAATCCTTTCTCATAATTTCCTTTTGGTCGTTAGTTACACGCTTCACCTAAATATCAGTCCCAGGTCTCTACCCTTTTACAAGAAAACTCTCGTCTTCTCCTCCAGCCAACTCGTCTTCGAACATGCAAGACGGCACGATGTTCAAGCTCACAGACCCACTGATCTATTGAGCATAGGAGACAATCCTTTCGCGAGGCCGGAATTAAGCAAATCTCCCAAGAGAGTTTTGCTATCTTTTCGGGAACTACATGATAATTTAGGCAACTCAGATGGTCCACGACTCTAGAGAGCAAATGCTATCGTGGAGGTTCGAGGACCTTAGGCAGAAAATGCTCCAAGTGGCGACGGCGGCACCCAGCTGCCACCAACCTCAACAGTCAATTCGATCACGGGATATCATCCGAACGGTCGTTTGACTTCATTTAGACCACCTTACCTCAAATCTTAATTGACCCATTATTGCTCTCTCCACACAATCTCGTTATCGTCTAAATAATTGTTATCATAAAGCTGCGTTCATACGGCTGTCAGATGAACTCAATACAACTGTGAGCGGAACATATTACTTATGCGGCGGAGCAAACTCACTTAAGCTATGCTCGGCTCACCACCGCTGTTAAGGGATTTTGCCCATATCTAATCAGTAGTGACCCCACTGCTGTCACAATATACTCACCCACTGGATCCCGCCGCCGGTGCTTCTACTTCGGGGCGAACAGAGCAACCCCAAACGTGCTCCGCCGCCTAGTCATGTTCCGTTAATAACAACATCCATGGTATCGTCACACGACGATACATCTCATCAATTGCGTTCACTGGTTCATATTATCGTCACAATACATTACATTACATTCAAGGACATGTGTTCACATAACGATATGTCGCAGTAGTATATATATCGTTCTTATGCTATTATTCACAATGATATATGTATATTATAGGTTGTTTGGTTTTACCACTTTGTTTGGTACCACGCCATTGTTTGGTTCCATCCTATTGTTTACTATAACCCATATAAAGGATCTGAAATTTGCGCTCTTGTCCGTTGCGAGACACAAGTTGGCAGCAGATCAAATCAACAAGACCACTAAACCTTCAGCACACCCAACCTCTGACCCTACAATGACTCATCGTGGTCTACCGATCCATTAAGTCAGTGCTACTATCCTCCTAGACAAGTCTTAGAGATTTTTATCGACCGCGGAAAAACAGAATGTACGCTCAGCCTTGACCGCACAATCGAATAGTCGAGTATAGATTAATCGATCATGTGTATCGCAAGAAACCTCGGACCACTACGCCGTGCGTACTCTTCTACAGGCATGCTCTTAATGAAACTAATTCATGGCGATTTTGAGAGCGCTCATGAAAGGGCCAGTCTTGAGATTTTGGAAACCGAAATCACAAAAGCTAATATCTTCTAGCTGGCAATCACCTTCGATGACAAATCTGAAACGTCACGAAGAACTGAGGATCAAGTCAAAAAACACCAAGATTAGAGCTTTTTTATTAACCACTGAGAAACTTACCCTCCACAAAACCAAACCAGTCCATCAACATTGTCGAATAGCTATCGAAGTGATTATGTTCAAAACACTAGATAACACACAGGTGAGAGGTTGGATTGGAAGTCGTAACCAACATTTGCGATTAAGGTAAACTGAAGATCCGCCTCATAGAAAAATGACCGGAGGTTAGACAGAATTTTACGAAGGATTTTAGGAAAGGTGCACGTCAGCTCTCAAGAATAGTGCACCCATGAGGCCATTTTGTATATGAACAGAAAAAACTAGAGAATTCTATCGGTCTGTTTGAATTAGTTGGCTGTTGAAGACTGAGCATATCATAATAACTGCTCGCCTTGTAGATGTGATTCTGGTTTTGTGAGAAAATTCCTCGCCTAACTTCTAGGGAATTGCTTGTCGTTCATTTTTCGTGCATATATTGTTTTCTTTTTTCAAATCCAGAAAAAATCTTACTCTATCGCATCATTTGCACATGTGATTTTTATTTAGAGCTGAAAGTTATAGAAAAATGGTAATAATTTCGAGTTTTGAGAATTTTCAATGGATGAGGCGCAGTGGCTATGTTGGGAACATCAGCTCGTACTTCGGGATTGGTACCTGCTTGTAAAATCACTTTTCGTTCAGATAATTTTTCAGAAGCAGGAAAATGGCAACACGATATATCGCAAATTTTAGGAAAACAGAATTTATATCAACTACTCCTCGCTGCACTGCCTACGGTTAATTTTCAAATTTAGGCTATGTAAATATAACCCATGATTGCAAGGATGAGGGCAAAATTCGAAATTTGAGGTCTGTGGATGTGGAGTGGGTTTGAACTGACTACGTTTACTTGATTCCAAGTGGCTCGTTCAATTCTAGTCATCGTTTGCAACTTTTTTTCGCACCATAACCAATTCTCTGTCAGATTCCCCTGTTAAAGAACAACACATCCATTATACATGGTATTGTTAAAGTTTATTGATGCCTTAGCTGTCAAACACTGTCCTCATAATGTTGATCCTTGTCTATGAAGAGACCGTGCAACTTCAACGACAGAAATGGACACTATCGAGAATTTTTCCTACATTTCTAAGAAGCTTTTAGTAACCTTCATTGAACGTAGGCCAGCAAAACAAGCTGTGAATCACGCACTGGATGTCTTGAGAGTCGGTGTCGAACGATCTGCTGCGACAAAGGTAAGCGGGAGTCTGACATTGGAAACCAGTTGTTCTCCAGCACATCAAGTGGATTGGATCATCAACAATAATTGTCTAATCAGCTATTATATGATTGCTCTGTTAGTGGTCTTACACTACTGGCGCCTAATATGTCTCCTCCTGTTCATTCTTATCACCACCACAGAGACCGGTCAGATAGGATTGCGCCCTATATCTCGCCTGGCCACATCGGCTACATTCCATATCATTTCGTCTTACGCACTTTCGTATAACATTTTCTAGTGGTCACATCAATATCTTTTCAGAATCGTTCTCTTCCAGTGCTTCATTATCATGAAACGATGTGCGTGAGGTGTTTCCTCACACCCACCCACAAAAGTTGAGGCTCTCATGCTTTTATGAAAACACTGCTGAAGAACACTTCTTTTCCTTTCGATTTGGGCCGTTTCCGGGCAATAACTAGAATGTAATAGAGACACACGCAGTATTTCAACTATGTGAATACACGAATCCTCCTCTGTTGTCTTTTGTATTTTGTAATTTTGTATACCCTTATGCCAGTGTGGTGCGTAATTTTCAGCGTTACGTTGCACTAAATCACGTACAACATCGAAATTGAAGAGATTTACCTCATCGACGATCACATCATTCACTGCAGATGCTTTCCACGACAATCTTGGCATCACGGTGGTATATCATAGTGCTGTTTGTATCATCCGTTTCGGCACAGCAGTGGAACCCGAATCACGTTGCTCTCAATGCGAAACGAAAGTATATCGAAGCCGACTCTAGTTGGTTAGACAAACGGCAACAAGAAGTCCAAAGGGCGAGTAAATTATGTTCATATTTCTTCGGAATACAACTAACCTCCTCTACTATGCTTTCTACATTGTTACGTTTGCGAAAAAAAGGAAAGCTTTTGAATCCAAAGAAAAATACCATTATTTGCGTAGGCGGATTAGGTTTTATTTTATTTATTTACTGCATTACCTAGTTGTGTAATGCATGCATCATAGTGTGCGCATCCCAGCACTTCTTGCACTGGTCTCCTCTTGTCCACTATTATGGAGACGTTTAAACTTTTCTTGCATGTGTTTTCTGCTGCTGATTCCGGATTTTCATCTACGTTATACACTCCATTAAATGCTAGTCGAGTCGGGCTATAGTATCTTTTTGGATTGCAGAAGGTGAACTGCTCTTAGACAAGTTTGACATCAGTTTCCGAAGCGTGAATTGATGTCAGGCTTGGTAGACTTATAACGCGGTCAAACTATCGCCTATATCCATGAACTTTAGAAAAGATGTTTTCCTTTCACCATTCAAGAAGAAAATTACTGAAAAAGATTTGTGAGCCC